GAGGCGATGGGGCTCTTCCCAGCCGACTACTTTACCACAGCAGGGTGGCTGTCGCTGGTTGCCTGCATCCTGAGTGCACTGCTGGGCTTGGGCTCCCTCATTTGGTTTTCCCATCCTGACTCGAGTGCCAAGCATGTGGTCCACCAGGAAGCAATGTAATTACTTGATAAAGATTTGCATTGTGCTACCTGCTGTAGTTTGCACGGCAATTATTTATTTGTGTCAGGTGCATGTGTATTGCTGGTGGCCTTTGCAGCGGTTGCCGATTCTCGGGCAGAAATGACTCTCTCCTGGTCTGCCTCAGGGATAAGGCTGGCACCCTGGAGCTGCACCAAATCTTTGGCTTTGGAGGCAATTTTCTCCACGGCATGTACATCGCGTAGAGACAAGGTCGCTTCCTTGGCAACGGGCAAGCGAATCGAATGGCGGGGCTCGGCAGTCGGCTCCGAGTCGGTGGAGCGTACAGCGGGAAAACCAGTGGGTTCTGCAGTCAACTTTGCCCAAGCTTCGTGTGGGTTTGCAGGGGTTCTTTTTGGTCTTTGAGAGACCTTTTCCTCTGCGAGGGAATAGCCATCCGGTGGTGTGATGAGCTCCCTTGGAGATGGACTGTCATGTCCATTTTCCCTGTCCGGTAAAACTTCAGGTTTCGGTTCGGATTCATTTGTGTTGCTCATGGTTTGTTCGTCGAGAATTGAATCATAACGTGTTTGGTGCCACACAGGCTTCAAGATGAATCACTTCAACAACTATAGTGTTTGAACGAGTCTTTTGCTTAAATTTCTCTTGTTGGTTTTTTGCTAGGAAATACTTGGTCACGTGTAATGTTCCGTTGACTGGAAATCTCGAATCGGAACAACGTCTGCACTGTCCAGTATTCCAGTCTTAATCTATCTATAATGTCCCATGGTGCTCTAGTCCTTGTTCCGGTGAAGTGCGTTTCCCGGTAGCGTTGCCGTAGCGCTTGTATCCTGACGTACTAGTGTCCTTGTGGCCCACGATCCTAACTGCTGCAACTATTTTCGGTCTTTCGGGTGGTTTCGGTCCTCTGGCTCTGCCTTCCCATTATGCCCATTCGTTCTCCCGTTTCCCACAGTTCCAATGTTGACTGCTTGCTGCTATTCCACCATCAAACTCTGTCAGCAGACGTCGAGACCAAGGTTGTTTTTTTGCGGCAAAGTGCATTTGGTTTGGACTGGAGCCTGATACGTTGGTGGTGAGTTTATTGCTGCTACTGGAATCAGTTTGCAATTAGCTTGGGTAAGCTAGCTGGCCTAGTGATCGGGGACAGCAGTCGAACAGCTAGGTCTCGGCGCTGGTGGCTGACTAGAGAGCTCGGTGCTCCTGTGGCTCTTCGGGAGTGGGTTTGATATTCCAGACGTCGCCGGTGGAGAATCGGTGTCTGTGGCTCCTGGGAGCGTCTCCGCTGGCCTTGTGGTTGTGAGGGATGGATGCAGAAGCCATCTTGTGCAACGAGTCCTCCTCGGTCCTGAAGCCAGATCGCGCCGACAGCACTGAAGAGACGGGCTCGGCATCTTTGGCTGAAATGGAGGCAACGGCAGCCAGTGTCGAGTTGTTTTTAAACAGTTCTGCTCGCCGAGCCTCCAGTTCGTGTTTGGACAGCTCCTTCAGCAGCTCGTCGGCGTGCTGCAGTATGCTAGCAGAGTCTTTGGGCGGCTCAGTCATCGAGAGCTGCGAGGCTGCCAAGGCAATCATCGAGATGATGGAGGAGCCTTTCGACGACATGGAAGACTCCCGCCCAATCCTGGAAAACGAACTGCTGATTTCCGACTGCCACATCGGAGTGTCTCCCATGCCTACACTTATCTGCGATTGAAACGTTTGTCGGCTCTGCGATTGTGTAGAGTCGGCCAAAGCTGCCCAAGTCTCCTGTGCCGACATCAACGACCGGCCTCTTGGCCGACTCCTCTCTGTCGAGTGATGAGTCTCAATCGTTACAGAGGTCTGTGATAGAAACGTTTCGAGCAGAGTCTTGTCGCTGGACAGCGCACAGTTGCTTTCCGCATGTGGGCAGGCTCTAGAATACTGTGTATCTGTAGATTTCGAGATGTGGTTGCTGTTGTCACGTTCGCTCATCTGGATAAAGTTGATTCGACGTGGATTCACGGCAAGAGCCAACTCCTGGCACAACACGATCCCCATTCCAGCCGGGCTGCAAAAGGTCTGGCCAACAATAAAAAAATGCCCATTAGCCGGATTGAACGACTGACCTTTGCATTACGAGTGCAACGCTCTGCCACTGAGCTAAATGGGACGTGAATATTTTTTCCAAGACTCTTTTTTGTCCACATCAGCCGTCTCAGTGTACCGAACTTGCCAGTTGGACGACCTGGACTGCCGCAGGGCTAGCGAGAAAGGGACAGTGCAAGAGAGATTTATAATCGCCTGGCTTTTTTCGGACGACAGCCGCCATGCAGGATCGGCGTGATGTCGGAAATTCTGGTCAGATTCCACCCACTGAGATCCTTGATGGCCCTGAATGCCTGGTCCCTAGATGGTCAGCAGCCCGGTGTACCGTCCGGGCCCAAATCCCTTTAGCTTTAGATGCATTGGTATGTTTTTGTCAATCTTTTCTCCCAGCTTTTCGACGAGCAGCTTTGCCGTGTTGTAGCCAGCATCTGACGAGCCCCTAGCCTCAGTGCTGGATTCGATACCTATGGCGTCAGTCTGCAGAACCCACCTTGCAGCTTTTTTCAAACCCAGCATTCCGCACGATGCCTGTCCTATTGTTTTGCCCTCCATAGAAACATGAACATGAGTATTGTTTCGTCCGGCATAAATCAGAGTAACATATCTACGAGTCAGCGGTCCCGCACTGGCACCTAGGATGAGACACTCGATCGAGCACCTAGCATTAGCCCGCACCCCCACCTTTTTTTCTCCTCCAGCTTCTCCTGAATTGTCACCGAGGGCCGTCTTTTTTTCCACTGCTCGTTGACAATGTACGTTGCGACGGGATTGAAGAGCCGGGAAGAAAACAGCGGTTTCTGGGCCGGTGCACTGGGCGGGTCGCCAGCACTGGCCGAGTCGCTCGAGTAGCATTTCGAGTGGTTGATTCTGGGTGCGGTAACACTGCGGAACAGCACCGCTCGCAACCGGCTGAGTGTCATCGTTGCAGTTGTTTGCGCAACTAACCCATGAACCCAGACACGCAGGCTATCCAGGACACCATGTAAGACTCTGGCATTTATGCTAGCCAAGCAATGAGAAAGACCAGACAGGCCTTGGATACGTTCAACCGGATGTCGACCGTTGTGCTGGGCAGGGACCCAACGCTGTCAAAGTAAGCCCAGACGGCTGATTCCAGGGTGCAGCTGCCCACTGGGCTTGCGTCGGATCTTTATGCGCTTCATGATCGAGTCAATAAACTCGCCTGAGTTTTCCCAAAAACAAGAAACGGTGCATCCATTTGGCCGTAAAATGAGCGAAAAAGAAGACATTGAATTATATGATTTTGATAAAAGCCAAGTCGACAGGTGCGGTGGTGCTGCTGACCGTAGAGAGGAGCAACTGACCCATGCCAAGGCGATGCAGGAAATACTCGAGGCTGAAGGAAAGGACCACGACCCGATGGAGGGCCTGGGCCGGGCCCGGAAGGTAGAGAGCGACTACCAGCAGCAGAGGTAGTGCCGAGTCCCTCACCGTAGATACAACCGGATGCTCTCGCCCGACCGAAAAGATGCGTTTGCAAAAAAGGGCAGTCGAGGAGACGCACAGTCGTACAAGGAGGTACCCGGCATGTGCTGAGTCGTAGGTGATGAAGGACCTGGACCTGGAACGAGAGAAAAAAGAGCTGGAGAGGAAGCTGCAGGAGCAAGAAAAGCGCGATGCTCTGAAGCGGTCTGCCGATCAGTCGCACTCCGAATGGGAGGTTGATGAAAAACGGGCGAGGGTGGACGCTACACCAAAACAGTCCAAGTGGGACGCAACGCCGTCTGGGTCAGACAAGTGGGGGGCCACTCCCCAGACTGGTGCCGGCAAGTCCAAGTGGGATGCCACTCCAGCCTCGGCCACCGGCAGCAGGTGGGATGCTACTCCGGCCTCGACCACCGGAGGCTCCAAGTGGGATGCCACCCCCGTGTCGGTTGCCTCGTCTGCCTCGACCCGTGCCCTTGGCAGCATGACGCCAGCAGAGATCAAGCAAGCCCGCTACGATGCCGATGTCGATCGACGAAACAAGTTCCAAACCGACGAGGAACTCAACGCGCTTCTGCCCCTCAAGGGATTTGTGATCCTTGAAGTGCCTGGCTCCTATGTTCCGATCCGGACCCCCAGTCGAAAGCTGGATGCGACTCCGCTGCCGCAGGTGGGAGAAAACGGATTCCACATGCAAGAAGACGTGGCCCGAAACGAGGCCGTTCCCGAGATACCCGGGGTGTCTGGACTCGAGTTCTTCAAGCAAGAAGATGCCCAGTACTTTTCACGGCTGGTGGGAGACGAGCGGGTGGACAGCGATCTGACCCTGGACGAGCTCAAGGAACGCAAAGTCATGCGGCTGCTGCTAAAGATCAAGAATGGCACGCCGCCGGTCCGCAAAATCGCGATGCGACAGATCACCGATGGTGCGAGGCTCTTTGGTCCGGCGTCGCTGTTTAACCAGATTCTCCCTCTTCTCATGAGCCCCACGCTGGAGGACCAGGAACGGCACTTGCTGGTAAAGGTGATTGACCGAGTCATGTTCAAACTGGACGACCTGGTTCGCCCGTATGCCCACAAGATCCTTGTTGTTATCGAGCCCATGCTGATCGACCAGGACTACTATGCCCGAGTCGAGGGCCGTGAAATCATTGCGAATCTGGCAAAGGCTGCGGGATTGGCCACCATGATCTCTGTCATGAGACCAGATATCGACCACACGGACGAGTACGTCAGAAATACCACGGCCCGAGCCTTTGCCGTCGTGGCTTCTGCGCTCGGTATTCCCGCCCTACTTCCCTTTCTCCGTGCCGTCTGCAAGAGCAAAAAGAGCTGGCAGGCACGGCATACTGGCATCAAGATTGTGCAGCAAATCGCCATTCTGCTGGGGCCGGCCGTTTTGCCCCATTTGAAGAACCTGGTCAGTGCCATCGGGGACGGCCTGGTGGACGAGCAGCAAAAGGTGCGGACAGTGACTGCGCTGGCTCTGGCCGCCCTGGCCGAGGCTGCGGCTCCGTACGGCATTGAATCCTTCCAGCCGGTCCTGAAGCCGCTGTTTGAGGGGATCAAGCTGCACCGCGGCAAAACGCTGGCGGCCTTCTTCAAGTGCATTGGGTTCATCATCCCGCTCTTTGATCCCGAGTACGCAAACTACTACACACGCGAGTGCATGGCCCGGCTGGCAAACGAATTCACCACCTCGGACGAAGAGATGAAGAAAATTGTGCTCAAGGTCATCAAGCAGTGTGTCGGGACCGAGGGAGTCGACTACGCCTACATCAAGCAAGAGATCCTCCCCAGGTTTTTCAAAAACTTTTGGGTGCGTCGGATGGCGCTGGACAGGAGAAACTACAAGCAGCTGGTCGAGACCACGGTCGAGATTGCCCAAAAGGTAGATGCCAGTGTCTCACTCTAGACGGGAACATCGGAGCTCGTGCAGCAGATTGTTGAAGACCTAAAAGATGACAGCGAGCCCTTCCGAAAGATGGTGATGGAGACGCTGGACCAGATCGTCGCTTCTCTGGGCACGGTGGATTTGGACGACCGTCTGGTCGAGGTGCTGATTGACGGCATCCTGTACGCCTTCCAGGAACAAACCATTGAAGACGACGCGGTCCTAAACGGGTTCGGAACCATTGTGACGTCGCTGGGAATCCGCACCAAGCCGTACCTGCCGCAGATCTGCTCCACGATCCTCTGGCGACTCAACAACAAGTCGGCCAAGGTCCGCCAGCAGGCCGCGGATTTGATCTCCAAAATCGCCAACGTGATGCGAGTGTGCAGCGAGGAGAAACTCATGGGCCAGCTCGGAGTGGTGCTGTACGAATATCTCGGCGAAGAGTATCCCGAAGTGCTGGGCAGCATCCTCAACGGACTGAAGGCCATCGTTAATGTGATTGGGATGAGCAACATGACGCCGCCCATCAAGGATCTGCTGCCTCGTCTCACCCCGATCCTGAAGAACCGGCACGAAAAGGTGCTGGAGCATGCCATTGACTTGGTGGGACGGATTGCGGACAGAGGAGCCGAGTTTGTGTCTGCCCGCGAATGGATGCGGATTTGCTTTGAGCTCCTGGACACTCTGAAGGCGCAGCGGAAGAGCATCCGACGAGCGGCCATCAACACCTTTGGATACATTGCCAAGGCCATCGGACCGCAGGATGTGCTGTCGACGCTCCTCAACAACCTCAAGGTGCAGGACCGGCAGAACCGAGTGTGTACGACCGTGGCCATTGCCATTGTTGCCGAAACCTGTTCTCCCTTTACGGTGCTGCCGGCGCTGATGAACGAGTACCGTGTTCCGGAAATGAACGTCCAGAACGGCTGTCTGAAGGCGCTGTCGTTTCTGTTTGAGTACATTGGCGAAATGGGCAAGGACTATATCTGGGCAGTGTCTACGCTGCTGGAGGATGCGCTGATGGACAGAGACCTGGTGCATCGCCAGACGGCCTGTGCAACCGTCAAGCAAATGGCGCTGGGAGTCGTGGGACTGGGATGCGAAGACGCCATCCAGCACATGCTCAATCTGGTCTGGCCCAACATTTTCGAGACCTCGCCGCATGTTATCAACGCAGTGATGGAGGCTTTGGAGGGGTGCAGGGTGGCTCTGGGACCAGCCACAATGCTGCAGTACGTTTTGCAAGGTCTCTTCCACCCTGCGCGACGGGTGCGCGAGGTGTACTGGAAGGTAGGGGCTGGCGGCTAATGCTAGATCTACAACAACCTATACATTGGAAACCAAGGTGCTCTGGCGCCATATTACCCCAGGATTGAGAGCGACGACAGGAACGACTGGGCCCGACACGAGATGGACCTTGTGGTGTAGCCAATAAACGCTGCTGTACGGTTCGGGCAGACCGGCGTTTCATTCTTTGGTGACTTGGCGGTGTCGTGCAAGCCTCGTGCGTAAACTTTTACCAAAACTCCCAATGGAAGATACGCCTTTCCCACTCGCCAGCCATGGCTTCCAAGCCCTGCAGTGTCTTTGCCGCACCGACGAAAGCTCGGTGTTTTTGGCTGCCAAGTCGGTCTTGGGCACCAAAGGTTTGCTGCTGCTGCTGACGGTATCTAGGTACGGGAACGAGGACATAACCAGGCAGGTAGAGCAGCTGGCTGTGG